CTCCTCCCCTGTCGCCCTCTGTCCCTGACTCTGGCTCTCTGGTGCGCGTCTCTGGCTGTCTCTCCCTGCCTCCAGGGAGCTCTCGGTCCCTGGGCACACCGTGTGAAAACCCTGAAGATGGGGCCCCGGGACTCCGTGAAGAACGTGGCGTCTGAAAAGCCGGCTCAGCTCCCGTGGCAGCGGGCACTTCTTGGTCAAGTTATTTCCTTTCCCATGAAATGGAAACTCAGCCGCCCGCCTTGCAGGGTCACTTGCTGGGCACAGGACAGGCATGAAGACATGCCAGACCTTCCCCGCCGCCGCCCAGTCAAATGAAGAAACTGAGGCACGGAGCTGTCTACACCATGCCCAAGGGCAGGGGTAGGGCCAGAACTCAAATCCAGACAGGCCGGCTCCGCACTGTGTCCCGCCTCCCTGTGATGGAGCCAGCCTGCCGTGCACAGCCAGACTTCATGTGTGTGGTTTCAGTTCATGGTTCCCGCAGGCCCAGCAGCGGGGTGGGGGCTCAGCCCATTGGACAGAGGAGAAAACTGAGGCCAGAGGAGAATGCGAGCGGGTGGCCCCGGCCCTCGCAGCAGCCTTCCACCCGTGGTGACGCCGTGCAGCTGCGACCTGTCAGCCTGCTCTTGCCATCATGGGTTCGTTCTCCCGGGTTTTATTGCTTAGTGACTAAGCCTCATGGGGTTGGAGCCGGAGGCAGGGAAACTTCTGGAAGCCCATTCAGAGCCCCCGGCTCCTGTCTAGAGGAAGCCTGTGGTCCCTCACTCCCTTGGTGACTCCGCTCCACCTGGCCCCAGGGGGTCCCACGAGCCAGGGTGCTGGGGCTGGGGCCAGTGGGGACACCTCCTCTAGGGAAATTGGTGATGTGAAGTGACGGGGGGGTCTTGGAGTTGGTGAGGAAGTGGAGACAAGGGCAGTGGGGGCCTTTACACCCACCTGCCCCCTCCTCCTTTCCTCCGCCCCACGGGGCTCTCAGAATCCAAACCACCCTGAGCCTCATGGCATGGTCATGTGAGGTGACCCTGGCCAGGAAGGCACTGTTGACCAGACCCTTTTTATAGTCGCTGTAGCTGAGGTGCTCAGCGCCAGAGGGTTGGCTTGGGGGCCGGTATGTGTGTGGGGGGTCAGGTGTCTGCTGTCCTTCCTCCTAGCTGCTCCTTGCTGTCAGCTGCCTTCTCAGGACATGGACCCAGCACCTTCTACAGCCCCCACAGCCCCCCACACCCTGGCAAAAGCCTCCTTCAGGTAAGGGGACCGGTACGGGGTGGGGTGGGGGGTGGGGGAAG